GGTCTCTTGGAATAATGGTGAGCAATTAAAGAGTGTATGAGAAAATACAATGCAGGAGTGGAAATGCTGCTTACCTCCTCCATCATACACAGTTGGCCAGATTGGATTATATGTTTACCCTCATCAAGAAAAACACATGGCGGGCAGGAGTACATGCAGCTCCCCTTACCCACCAGCCCAGTCTCTGGCATTCCTCGTGTGCATAACATATGTGAATGGAACATTCAGAAGCCTCCTGTTAATGCAGGGTTTGACATGCATAGCCAAAAATCGCATTGTTGAATTTCATCTATGCACACAATGTTCATCTAGCCCTCTAATTCCTGAGGCTTGCTGTATCCCTCTTTCTTGGCAGAAAACTAGTTTTAAGTTTCCTCTTATTAAAATGACAACTCCTCACCGTTTGTGGTGACATTTCAACGAGACCTGTGAATAGTCTGGACCCACCACTGACAGTAAGACATTCCAAGAGTTTGTGTGCAGGCTGTTTTGAAGTGCCTTTGTCATATTGGTTAATCTTAGATTTACTTGCTTAAGAAATGGAACAGTCACACACGTACAGTTTTCTTAAAAGAAAGGTTTGCATAAATAAAATTGCACTGGGCATTTCTTCTTTTTTAAGATGATATTTAAAACCAGCTTCTGGAGTCTTGTGGCATATTTTTGAAAGGCCATTTCTGCCACTTAGTTTGTGGTATGAAGTATCAACTTGGAAGCAGAACTACTGATAGGTTTAACACGACCCTCATAAAGTTTTGTTTTGACATAAACACATGACCTCCATCTTTCTCTCTGGGCCTGAAGTTCTTAGTTTGGAAACTTGTGGTTGAAATTGTCATGAAAAATATTCTGAACTCCTTTTCTGGCTCTTAGCCTTGTTGAAGGAATCACCTATATACAAGAACCCACCTTTCTGTGTCTAAATCTGTATAAAGTGCAGATGTTTATAAAGCAAACCGCTGTCCTGAAGCAAACCATGCTGACGCCTTCTCTTCCTACACAACAACCAGAATTATGAGTTCCGCTTTCATTTCTCGTAGCTGTTTCCCTCAGAGAACATTCACCATTCATGCCTTCCTACAGCCTTCCTGTCAAGGGAGTAGGATGTGGTGAAACCTTTCTCTCTACACTGAACATCCAAAGTTGACTTGGAGTGGGACACATCCATGAAATGGGCGCTTGGGAGGAAAACGCTCTGTCTCCACTGGCCTCTTTAAGCTGTGACCACAAGGGTAAAATTTGTGGTGGAAACAGTGCAGCTGTAAATATTACCTGTTATCTTTTCTGCACTTCCATGTTGTCATTGTGAGCACTTCTTATTTTCTGTAATAACGTTGACAGCACCTTTTTTTTATTATTTGAAAAAGAGAGTCTTTCTTCCAAGAAGGCATTTGCTCATTGTTGCCTGATTTGCATAGCTTTCATTTTGCAAGGTGAATGCCGGAGCAATGTTTATATTTTCAAGGGTATGCTCTTCTTTTGTTCGTGTCATCCTTTCTTTAAACCTTCCTTTTTATTTGCCTCTCTCCCCTTATCCTTTTCTTTCTCATCTCATTTTTCATCATCGTGTGGTTAATTCTCTCTTTCCCCCCTCCTTCATCTCATGCTACACTTTGTCTTGTCTATTGCTATGTGACAGAAAAGCCAAAGACATTCCATGTCTGGCAGTACACCTCCAGGGACATCTTTTGAACTCTCATAATTTGTATTTATTGCCACCCACTTTGTAAGTTCACAGTTTAATTTGCCAGCAGTGGCACTGTTAGGCCGACACAGTAAAACAAGATAACGTTAAAATGTCAGAACGAGAGGGGGCATGAATGATGCATTACTCACTGCTAGAACTTGCACTTGTCATGCCTTTCCACCAAAGTGATGTTAACTACCTTTTGAGAGTCTTATTGGGCTGGTATTACTTAGAAATAGGATCATTAGTTCACTACTCTGATTAGAAGGTTGCTATGGTTGATTAACTCTTCTGGAGCTGGGATCATGGTCAGAACATTAAATGAATTGCATCGGGTTATACTTCTAGAACTAATTTTACAATTATTTTTGCGCAATTACATAGTAGTTTACATGTGTATTTCCCTAACACTGTTGTGAAATGACTAAATAAAAAAAAGAGGAAAGCGTTTTAAAATTTGTAGCCAATATACTCTATGACATGGGTAGGCAAACTAAGGCCAGGGGGCTGGATCTGGCTCAATCGCCTTTTAAATCCGGCCCACAAACGGTCCAGGAATCAGCGTGTTTTCACATGAGTAGAATTTATTTAAAATGCATCTCTGGGTTAATTGTGGGGCCTGCCTGGTATAGAATGTGTGCTTTTATTTAAATTGCATCTCTGGGTTATTTGTGGGGCATAGGAATTCGTTCATCCCCTCCCAAAAAAACCCCAGTCCAGCCCCCCACAATGTCTGAGGGACAGTGGACCAGCCCCCTGCTGAAAAAGTTTGCTGACCCCTCTAGAATGGCCAGCTGACCAAGGAAAAATCCCTGGCTTTCTCTTACTCCTTTATCAGCAATGTGATATGCAAAAATCTGTAAGCAAAGTATAGAGATAAACATTATCCACTGAAAATCTTGCAGATGAGGCTTCAATTAAAGGTGGAGAGGAGTTGGCAATCCTAATATGCCCATCTAAAGTAATTTCAATCTCTCTCTTTCTCACTTATTGTGGTTTGAACTACTTGCAACCAGGGGTCTGTTCTCATTACCGCTTTAGAGTACTCACCCACCATGGGGGTGGGGGGTTGTGGGACTGAGATGTCTTTACCTCATGCAAAAAGCACTCATATCCTGACTTCAGATGATTTAGGAATGGCTTAAGAACTCCATTTGGTGTGAAGCTGGTTTGAGAAACAACACACCATACAGTGTTTAATGACAAAGTACACGATCCCTATGCATTTTGGATTATGTCATTAAAACCCAGCACTGCAAATGCACTGAATGCACAGTAAAGGAGAGTATGAACACAGCCTTAAGTTGACCAGTTTTATTACTAGTTCTGCTTTTGTGCTTCAATAATGCCTCAATATGCAAAATGCTTAGCCGGTGAAGCTTTTCCTAGCTTGGCGATTTAAGTGAAGGGAAAACCTTCCCCTGTTAAATTTCGTTATATCGGGCTGCTGAGAAAGGCACAGGAGCAAGGCAAGCAATAAAATTAGCAGCCCTGCTTGTAATTTTCTGGCACTGTTATGTGATTAATATGATTGAAGGTGTCATAATACAGTGTTAAATATAGTATATGCAATAGAATAAGGGGTGGGAGTTATTCTAGATTAATCAGTGCAAAGTATAATGGTGCAGTCTTGTTTACATTGTGTGTGAGCTCCAGTTCACCTCAGACATGCATTGCCTCTGGAGTAAGAATACTGCTGGGCTTTAAGAGTGACTGAAGCATGTCCAGAAAGAAAAAGGATTAAAGATGTCCAGATAATAAAGGTGAAAATTGTGGGATTACCAGACAGGAGATATAAGAAATCAATATTATGGTCATACATGCATTTTTTTGTTGAATAATCTAGAGTGTTTACAAGCCGAATGCTTTTTATTTCATGACTGGCTTCATTTTGTGAAGAGTTCATTTAATGTGTCCCCCTGCCATGGATAATATCAAAACTGATTTAAGAGAGTGCACCTTGAATGTGTTATATGAAGTAAGGGCTTGATCCCAAACTCATTGAAGTTGGCAGAAAATCTTCAGCCCTTTATTACGTGCTATTGCTGCTGTGAATAATCATAAAAGAGAGAGTCTTGTTAATTTCAGTGGGAGTTGAATCATTCCATAACAGACAAGGGACCAATTTATGCATTCTCCAGACCAGCCAGTTATCCTGTGGAAGTGAAAAAGAAGCAGAGCTTCTTTTTAAATAATAGTGAGTGAAAGTTTTTTAAAGCCTTGAACTTCAAATTTAAGCTATTAACCTTAGAAGGGAGGGTTGGAAACAAAAGAAACCAAGGTAAAAAGACTTTTATGGCCAAAAATATTTTTTGGACAAAGCCATAGCAAGTTGTCTGATTCTGAACAAGCAGAAATTACTGTTGCCTCCTGCCATTGTATCATCTGAAATTTAAGTGAGTTAACCTTGCAACCTTTGCTGAATGCTCTCCAGTCAGACACAAATGAAGTAATTGCCAGCATTTGGGCCATGACTTCATCAGGTCCATTGACATGAGTCAGGGCTTGTGGGATAAAGAAGGACCTTTCTGGTTATTGCGTGTATTTTAAATCTGTCATCCACCCTCTTCTATATAAACGTAAACAACTACAGAAGATAATCCTTCTCCTGGTCTTGGTGGATTCAGTATACTAATGCAGCCCCTTGCAAAGCTGTACTTACATGCCCAGTGAGAATGCTCAGTTCTCATTAGGTTTGGGGTGGGGATTTTGTTCCTAAAGATTTTTTTGCACTTTTGCAAACTTCCCGCAATCTTGTTGCTGACCTATTGTCACTAGACAGTACCAATTTGGTGACATAAAGATCTGTGGAGAGAAGATGAGTCAGGGAATGAGTTGCCTGTTAAGATATAGAACAGGGGGCAGCAAACTTTTTCAGCAGGGGCCAGTCCACTGTCCCTCAGACCTTGTGGGGGGCCAGATTATATTTTTTTTGGGGGGGGGGAATGAACAAATTCCTATGCCCCACAAATAACCCAGAGATGCATTTTAAATAAAAGGACACATTCTACTCATGTAAAAACATGCTAATTCCTGGACCATCCACAGGCCAGATTTAGAAGGCGATTGGGCCGGATCTGGCCCCCGGGCCTTAGTTTGCCTACCCATGATATAGGATATCTCTGTCTGCATGTTTAAACAGCAGAGCACTGCATTTCACCCACATATAAGAAAGCCCTGGCCCAATTATAATTCTCAAGCAAGTGAATACAGAGGGTTAAAGGTGTGGGCATGCCCATCATAGAATCATAGAGCTGGAAGGTACCCTGAGGGTCATCAAGTCCAATTCCCTGCAATGCAGGAATCCTCCCTACAGTCATCCTTTGGTGGACTCAAACCACCAGCCTTCTGGTTAATAGCCAGACACACTGACCCATTGCTCCACTACACTTTACATCTTTTGCTGTGGGAAATTTCAGGGCAGCACTGGTGTATCTGCAAAAACCACGTCTGCCACGTGAATTGGAAGGGGTACCTTCAAACTGATTTTAAAACTAGATTTTATGGGAAACTTAATTTGTATATAGAGCTGTTGCCTCTCAACAGGTGGAAAGAACCTAGCAGTTACTAGTTGGAAATGCAATATTTCCAAACTAGAAATTGCTAGAGCTTGAGCACTGCTTAAAATGCCAAGTCCAAAAATGTGATACGGCTTTCTGTTAAAGCACACACGTACACAGCTGAGGACACCTCAACGCTGGTCAGGCAACAGCCCTTGTGTATCAATGAAATTGAGACATTCTGCTCTGTTTTCATATACTGTATTGCCTTCTCAAGGTATATCCCTTTGAGTGCTTGTTTCAAAGGGATATTTCTCCCTGAGTTCCTGGGTCATTTGGATTCATGCTGTGTGAGTCCATCAGTGGGATTTGGCCAAGAAAAGGAAGCTACGTTGAACTCCTTGTAGTGTGAGACTGGTGGAAACTGGATCCTCCCTCTTCCTCCCTCTTGAGCCTTGGTCTTCCACTCTCTAGCTTGACTTCTGTGTGGGGTTAGAGGGAGTCTAAGGGATTGTGGTGGCAGCCGACCCAAGAGGCTTTTGCTTGGCTGGTATACCCAGACTAATGGTCATGGCGGAGAAGGAGAAAAGTCCATCCTTTTACATTTGCTGCAGGAAACACTACTTCAGGGAAACATATGCATTGATGGTGTGTAATTAAGCCCATGACAGTGGATTCTTTTATTTTCTTTTCTTTTAAAAAAAGGCAACAGTATCATTTGGCTACTTTTAAAATGGCAGTAGGTAAGCACACATGCCTGGCAAGGTTCTCTTTCTTGCAATTATATTAATTGCTCATCTAACGCTTCCCGCTTTTAGTTTATGCTCAAAAGACTGGGGCTGAAGTGACCTGCTAAATTGACGAGGAAAATGTGGGTCCGCCTCTCCCTTGTTGCTGAAAGGTCTCGCCAAAGCTTGGGCAGAAGGAATGTTTCTGCAGCTTGGCTAAAAGAAAGATTGCAAATGATGCTCTTTGTTGGTTTCTTTTCTCTGAGCTTTTACATCTGGGTGGGTGCCTTGTTGCCAACAAGTCTTTTATGAGAGCCTGGGGAGGGTGGGGAGGGGTAAAGGGTCTGGCCAATTCTGCCTACCTTTCTTGCTCAGAGCCAAGGCTTTTGCAGCACCATTAGGATGTAGATTATCATATTTAAAACCTGTGATGACACCATTGTACCCATCTGAATGATTAATCTGCTCATTAAAAGAGTGCCGATGGGCTAGTCTAATTAGAACATGGATCTTCTTAAAGGACATTGCAGGGTCGGGAATAGGAAATATTACTCATAACATAAAGTAGGGATTAATTATGCTACTAAATACTATTGTATGTAATTTGCATATGGGTCTGGTCACAGGCAAGGGGTTAGCAAAAGTATAGCATCCTATTTTTATTACCTTTTTAAAGAGCGAGTTGTCAGTTGAAAATGGTTCAGATCTTCACCCCACCCTATCTTTTAAAATATGTGCTCTCATAAACAGAGTTATGTCTCCAGTGACATTTGTTCAGATTCAGGTAAAACTCATACTGTTGGTCCCACTAGATTCTGCAAACCATTTCTGCCCAGTCCCTTCACCCTCCTCCTGGTGTTGGCACCGTTGGCAATTACTCCCATGCGGAATTCACCTCACTGCCATCTCTCCCCTCCTGGTGTACTGCAGTGATGTTGGTGATGGGATCAAAGCTGTGATGGGAAGCCAATATTTTGGAAGGTTACACATCACTCTCTTTGTTTCCCTTTCTAGCCAGGAGTGGCCAAAGGAGTATTGGGCAATTATAGCACCAATGAGGCAAGTATTATCAATATAAGTGACTGCTAAATTACAGATATCAGTTCTAATGCACCAGCATTAGAGTACAGGAAACACTATGCATCTTAGGCTATTTAGATGCCCATAAACATCAAGTGGCATAGGGGCTCCTTGATTAAGCTAATGGTTAGCTACTGTCACAGGATATTCTTTATGTTGTTAAAAGAAAAAACCTACACAGGAGTGTATTGAAACAATGTAGAGAACCACCATGGACAGGGCTGCCCCATGATGTTTTGGCACCTGAGGAGAACCACAAAATTGTGCTTCCCCCACCAAAGAAGAAGGGGTAAGTGAAGACAAGGGTATTCTGTGGAACAAGGATGGGAAGAGACCAGCAGTGTTTTCTATTTACCAAGAGGACGTAGAGGAGTCATGGGGAGGGCTCCCACTAGTGCAGGGGCACTTCTCACCCTGCTCCCCTTGTACTCAGCCCAAATCTGGTCAGGAGAACCCCCAGAACAATGTATGGGGGACAGAGGAAAGGGGGGTTGTTCTGTCAGGCGAGTGGGAATGCTTGCACTGATGGAACGATCTACCTAGTGCTACATTGAACACAACCCCACATATTGGCACTCGCCATGAATTTGAATGCAGCAAGGCTGAGCCTTATAACCATAGAGCCATGGAATTGTAGAGGTGGAAGGGACCCCTGAGTCATCTAGCTCAATCCCTTGCTATGCAGGAATCTCAGCTTCAAGCATCCTGCTTGGGCCTTGCTAGGTAGACAGGAAGCCCTCCAGCAGGGCAGATGGGACTGCAGTAGACTTTTTAGAATCCCTTTAAAACGATTGTCTAGTCACTTTTAACTTCAGAGCCTGCTGTGGGATATCATGTGTATGTTGGTAAAATGATCGTCGCAGCCTAGCATTTGTCACTAAATGATGAGATCATTTGGGCCCAGATGGGAAATCTAGATGACACAGCTTTCCAGTAAGTCAGAAACACAGATAACCCGATGGCAGTATTTTTGCATTTAGTCCAATGTGTAATGAAGGGGTTAGAGATATAGGTGAGACATCCTCTTACGAGATATGGGCGCAAAAAAATTCTCTGACACATTTGCCCTTGACTTTTATCCAACAGTAGCCTTCCTAAACTGGATCTAAAGTGAGCAGAATTTGTCCTGTTATCCTGTAGAAAATAAAAGTGGGATGGAGGTGGACGGTGCTTGCATTTAAAAAAAGGATGGGGGCAAGGATTTGTGTGATGGCAGGAGGAAAGGCTTGAAGTTGGGTGTCAGACTAAAAGTGGAATTTTCACAACCAGGATTGGCCATTTTCAATTTGTTCTGATTATATAGATGTCCTTGCTGCTACTGCATATAATAATTTTGTTTATCATTTCAAAATGATAAAGAACTCAAGCAGATTTTCCACCAATGGTCTAGAACACAGATAGAGAAACTTTGGCCCTCCAGACATTGTTGGACTCCAATTGTCATCAGCCCCCGTTTGTATGGTCAATGATGAATAACATCAGAAAAAGTCCAATAACATTTGAAAAGCCACAGGTTCCCCACCCTGCAGCATGACAGACTCACACCCCAAAGGTGTCCATTGTCTCATCTCCCTGCTGTGGTCTTTCTCAAAGTGGGAAGCTCTTTCTGGGCATGGAGAAATAGTGATGTTTGCTGCCACTTCCAGAGGTTCTTCATGGAAGCACTGTTCCTGTGCTGAGGTATTGCACTGAAGAGGGAGATGGGTCAGTTTTTAGAAGGAAGATGCTGTTTTAGCTGCTGTGGGGCATATCTTTGCTTGTTCTGTAACTGCTAAAGGCAGCAGGTGAGAGGATCAGACTGCATATGTGCACAGAGGTTTTCCTCACTAGTAACAGTGGTAGTGGATCATTTAATAGTCTCATTTCAGAGGTGCTGTGAGTTGGCCATTTTGCCCAAGTGAGTTCCATGGCCAAATGAACCCATGAGATCTGGATTTTGAGTGTGGACTTCACAGGTCAAACCACAACATGCTTCTGTGCTGGGCCTGACTTAGAGACCCTGGTTTTGTTTTACTTTTTTCCCCTTTTGTCCAATGCGATTTATTGCTTGTCTCTAACACCTTTTAGATTTCATGTTTAAACTATCCAGGTTTGGAGTTGGGTCTCTGGTTTGTGTATGTGCGCACACGCAATTGTTTGTATTTGTCTTATTATAGTTTATAAAGCCTTACAATTTATATAGCTTTTTTCTTTGCTCTTCCTTTTGCTATACTCACAAGTGCAGTGCTTATGCATATCTGATTGCAGTTCAGCAAAGTAATCCTAACAAGGGACTGGGCAAACACAACGATGGATTCACCACTGTATCTGCATTTCCTGTCGGACAGATTAAAAAGGTTTTTCTGGTTTGGGGGTTTGTATTTTGTTTTTTAAAAAATAATTGGGCAGCACGTGTGTGTGTGTGTGTGTGAGAGAGAGAGAGAGAGAGAGAGAATGAATCAGGTTTGGCCCCATTTGGCCTTGAATTCCCTTCAGCAAATCACTACTTCCCAGCAGGTTTTTTATTTGTAGAAGTTTAAAAAAACAACAACCACACTACCAGCAACCCACATTTCCCTTTGTCAATATTATGGTGAGGATTTTTGCTGTTGATTTGTTTCTACAAAGAGTGTGTATTAGATGGATGGTTGAGAAGCAGGCTGCATTTACTGATAGGCTGCATTGTTGACACTGTTGTTTACATGTTTGGAACGACACCGCCCCTCAATCTGTTTCAGGCTTATCAAATCACTTCCACTAGCTCCTCTACTACCATCAACATTGGTTCAAATCTGTCACTACTGGCAACCTTCAGCATTTGCTTGAAAAGCTGGCTAAGCCCACTGCAAAAGCAGCAAAGTTGCAAGGCACACATCGATTTGTTGCAAACCACAGCTGTAGGCATGCTGTAAAATAATATGAAACAGAGGATGTAATCTTGTTGAATGCTTACCTGGAGATAAATGCCATTGAACAATAGCTAGGAGTAAATGCCATTGAACTCAATGGGCTTACTCACAGGTTTATATTGCATAGGTTTGTATTGTAAGAGGTTCCTTCTTTAACTATTTTGAACATGCGTGCATTAATTTTGTTCCCTACCT